TGGGCAGAGCCAGGGTTGGACTGGACGGTCCTTGTGCATCCCTTTCAGCTCAGGATATTCCAGGACATCTTTTTTCACTTCAGGAACAGACTGAGGAACTGAAAACAGACACCAGGCCCAGCAGAAACCTCTGCTCTGGACATCCATGGACCACTCCCAGTTCCTCCCCAGCCACCCCTCAAGGGACACAGGGATCCACACAGGTGCTGAGGCCACAGAACTCCTGGACTGTGGCCTCCACCACCTTTTTTGGGTCCAAGATCATCATTCTCCATGAAGCCCAGGTTTGCAACCATGAGAACATTCAAGGAAACCCATGAAATAAATACATTTATGGAGAACACTTTTTCCTCTCAATCCCTGCAGTCCCTGGTTTATGCAAGAAGCCATTCAGAACCAAATGAGGGATGAGAAGGGGAGATGGAGGAGGGGAAGCAGGGCTGAGTTTATGCTGAACAGCTTGGCACACATCAGGCTGGATTAATCAAAGCAGCCAATTTCAAAACACAAAAACCCCATAAAAATCAAGCTTTGCTCCAGCACAGGAGCCTGCCCTGGAATCCTCTGCCTGTTTGTTTTATGCTCAGCACACAGCTGTAAATCCACTCTTCAGTGCAGCAAGTGAGATTAGGATGTTTATTGTCTGTCTCAGTCACAGGAAAGGGATATCCCAGCATTTACTGCTCCGTGATCCCTCGGCAGAAAAATCACCTGGAATCACAGCGAGCGCTCCCAGAGCACTGAGAGGCCACAGAGCAGCCAGGAATGCTTGGAAACCACTTCTTCCTGCTCAGTGATTGAACACCATCCACTCCCTTACTCAATTAATTCCTTTCTCCTCCCCTCTGGGGTGCAAAGCCATTCCCATCAACCCCCTGGAATGACACTGCCCAGCACCGGGGAACTGGGAGCCCAACTCCGATGGATCCAACACACTCCCTGCCCCAATAAAAGGCATTTATCAGCAGGAATCAACACAGCTCATGAACCAGCTGGAATGTGGATGCCCTGATCCTTCAGCTTCAGGGCAAGCCATGTTTGCACAGAGGTGCCTGTGGATGTCTGTGCTCTGGTGTGACCTGACACACTCTGTGTGCTG